TCCGATCGTACGTCTCCGCCACGATCGATCGATTCAATGAATTTCGCCGATACAACCGTTTGCACTCCGTCTTTTTCGCCCCCGTGCAATTTCGATTTGCTCGACCCTCGTACATCTCGCGCCGTGCAGACAAGCTCGATTTATTCACGACCCCGCGAAATTTCCGCCGATTCACTCTGCGATCGTAGCGTAATCAACGACGACACTTTTGTCGATATTTTGCGAACTATACTGTCGTTTCCGATCGACGATCGAAGTACCCGATGCGATTCGATGGATTATCGAAGGTTCGAATTGGAGGATTTTTGGAGATAGGAATAGGGGATTATGCGCGTGTTAGATTTTCAAGCGTTTTGGAAGCGTGGACGGAGGATTCGGGGTGGAAAAATTTGGATATTTTCGAGGAGGGATTTAGCAAACGATGCTGTCGGTACGGTGAAAGCTTCGGTAATTTCCACGCTCGGTAACGAAGTCACGGTTTACGTTTTGCACCGGATTGCAGGGATTTGCACATTTGACGAGGGATTCAGTACTCGCGTCTAGATTCTTCATGAATATTCATTCCCCGGCATTTTGTGTCGACGTTTATGAACTCGTCGACGACTCAGAAAAATTCGGAAGGCGTTGAAAAGGGTTTCTATCGGAATTGAATCCCGTCACGTTCATATTTACCTAGATATTTCAAATCTCTGGAAATTTGAAAAGAAAGAAAATCATCTCACACTCCGACAACCATAAAATAATCCTCGCCATGGGAATTAAAATAGTTGCACTTAAAATGTCGAAAAGCAAACAAAATCATCGCTTCCATCACAATTTGACATACTACGATCACTATAAAACTAAATTAACTTTAAGGAAGAAAAATAACATAGAGATAGATTCATCTGAAATTTCAAAAATAGAAAAAAAAAATCCAATTTTTATTCCAATTTATTACTTCGATAAATATATAAAATAAAATGATCGCCATAATACCGATCAAACTATTTCTGAAATTCAAAGAGCAGAAGTATAGAATCGTACACGTATTTCGATCTTAAATCCCGGTCCAAAAAATTACAAAAAAAAAAAAAAAAAGAAAAGAAATTCGAAGAATTGCACGGAACGAAAAATTTCGCGGTCCTCGGTAAATCGAGCTCGCACGCCATCTACGATAGCGAAAGAATTAATGAGAGAAGCATGAGGGTGAAAGAAGAGTGAGGCTGTAAAAAGAAATTGTCGCGATCGGCGGCCGTGCCAAACACGGCCGATTCTACTTGTATCATAATCTCTTACGATAGCGCTATTATTAAACAATAACGAAACAGTAACAACAATAAGGTAACTCGTAATTTAAGGGAGCGTGAAGCGGAATGAGAGAGCGAGAGAATGCGAGCGAACGTCAGTATGTATGCCGATTAATCGTGCGACGAGTACGCGAGTTTAGTGATTACACGTGTCACTAAGAGAAGCACCTCGTAGCTACGAACGGGCTTCACGGCTTTCAGTCCCTGGTCTCGCGATTTTCCTTACTTCTACTCTCACCTCGACCTCGGACCGTCGACTTTTCTCGAAATAGTCGAACCACGCAACGACAAATCGAAAAGACGAAGAAGAAACGAGAGAGGACCGGGTGGTATCGTTGCTTTCTTTCCTCGACGCGAGAACATAACCAAAAAAGATACGGGGAGACGTGGCGAAGGAAGGAAAATGTCGCGAGACCGGGATCTAAAGTCGGCCCAAAGGATTTTTACCAAAACGACTCCGCGAGGCGCGGAGTGGAAGCAGTTATATAAAATTAGACGTAATTATTGAATTTCGTTCGGTTTTGTAAACGAAGTCGATACGCATCCGGTCGGCGGGCAGCGCCGCCGCTGCAGGTGGCGCCGCCGTCGGCGGAAGATGGCGACAGCGTGTCTCGTCGGCTTTGCGGATGGCGAATTTTGTAAAACGCGGACGCGTCCCGCGGGCGATCACTGGCACATCGAAACGGAAGATGTATTCCATGTCCTTCTAACCGTTTTAACTTATCGTTACTCGTTAAATTGTCTTTCTTATCGATCTTCGATACTATTCGTTGTTGGTAGATTTGTAAAATTTAAAGAATCTGTTAAATATGGCTTCCTTTCGCGGGATCGAGAAAATGAATGTGATATACACTTTCTGTTTCATTTTGAAATTTTATATTGGAGACTTGTCCATATTTTAATCGAGAATCATTGTTTTTCTTTTTTAATTAAGAATGATGGGAGAGTTTTTATATAATCGTGTATCTTCGTGTTTCGATGTATATTATTATTTTTGAGGGACATTTGTTGAGAATTGATCGCTTTTTAACGATGTTGATTATAATTCTTTTTTTTTTTGTATTTTTGTTTCATTTTCTTTTTTAATTTGTATTTTATCGTTTCGGACGAGAGAGTGAGAGAGAGAGAGAGAGAGAGGGAGAGGGAGAGAGATATTGGACCAGTGATCGCTCGCCGGCGCGTCGTTCGGGACGTAATTTGAGGAATGCGTTGTATTATATATCGAGAAACCCTTTAAGTGTAAGAATAATAATGTATATATAATTATTATTACCATAAAACTTCGATTGATTGCACTCCGGGGGGTATGGAGCTGTCACCCCTCGTCTGAGGCGGAAGAAATAAAGAAACGCGGAAAAAGTAAAATTGAAACGCACGAAGATGAACGAAGACGAAGCAACAAATCTCAAATGGTATACAGTCGCGGATACAATGATGAAAACGGGGGGAGGGGGGGGGGATGAAAACGTAAAACACGAAACGGTAACAAAAGGCAAAAGAAAACTGTTCTCGCATTGATTTCAAAGGGATGAAACGATGAAACAAAAAGGAAAAAAAAGACGCTGCGTTTTTCGATCCAGATTCGTTCTGTTTTTGTTGTTAGTTTGTACGCACTACGATTTATCGCAATTTATTGTATTATCGATGAAATACTGTAACAAAAATACTGTTAACTATTCTTAAAAAAATTAAAACTTTTGTAAACTGAGACCAATCGCGTCCCGGTGAATTTCTCAAGCTGCTCCTGAAAACGATTCCAGAGGATGTTTATTCTGCTCACCACTGCTCTCTATACATAAAAAAGAAAAAATTCCCAAAGAAACTGAATTTTTTTTTTTCATTTTCATTATATTAACGCTCTGAATATTAGGAGAAATATTTCTCGAACCTGACAAAATGGTGGCACGTCACACGATTTCCATGATTTTGTCCCATCCATTCCTGACATAAATGTGAAATTAATATCGAGAAATGTATAACTGTAATTAATCTTCTATATGTCGTTAAGAAAGAAATACTCTATATAAATATGTGGAGTATTAAAACCTTCGCGTACATAACCTCAAAAACCACCGAGGCTCCACGGAACGTGCTACCATTTTGTCGTGGATTATAGATACGGATTGGTGTGGGGGACAATAAAAATTCGAAACATTGCACAGACACCGTCACAACAACGATATACTTTATTCTCTAATAGGATACATTTCGCTTTCATATGCTTTGCTTCCGCACCAACCATTGCCAGCGCAATGGGGTGGAAGACCCAAGCCACGAGTACACTGCACGCAAAAGCTACAGTCGCACATTGACACGTAAACATTTTGGTTTCACATCACGAAAGCTCTGCAATTTATCCGTAATTCGTAAAAAAAGCCTCTGAACTTCGCGAAATTTTTCTTGAAAATAGCACCAGAGGTTAAGAGATTCGCGCCCCCCAACGGGACAAAGTGAAAGTTAAAAAAATATCCATCTTTCGTGCTACAACGTAATCTAACGAGTGTAAAATCGGCTTAAAATTAATGGATGGCATCGACAGCGACAAGCTAACGTTAACGCTAGGACTACCAATTACATTGTTAATGTTTTGCCAAACATGCTAGTGTTTTTACTATAATATAATTGGACATAAATAATTATATTTTTATCAGGGTAGGTATCATAATAATACTGTCATCGTGACGTTAATTTTCCAACACCAGTCACTATGCAGAGCTAGGGAATTTGGTCCAAGATGGCCACTGAGACCAGCAAAATACTTTTTATCTCGTATTAAATAGACAATCTTTCATCCTACTTGGTCCAAACCGTATTCATCGCCAGAATTAGATTTTATATAAAAATAGTAGAACGAAATAGAAGAAACATTGCGATTTTTAGATCTCGGAATATTTATCTCGGTTTAGTTCTCGAAATTATCTTCACCGACAGATGTCTCTCTTTTCCATTCGGTTTATTTGTAGATGATACTTTCAATAGCTAATGAAAATTCGCATGATCGCCATAGTGACGTTACATTATAGGTAGCCAGACCTATACTTCTTCCACATACGAATTTCCACGGTAATTGCAAGAATGGAGAATCTAAGATAGGTACTTTCGATTGGTTTGGTAGTTCTAGCGTCGACAAAAAATAACTAGGAAAAATCTTCTCGGTCAAAATCGACCTGGCGTCAGCTGAAAAGACTAAGAACAACGTTGCTAAAGATCACATTGATGAGATCATCGGTCCTCGGCGTGAGAGATACTGTCGCCCAGAGAGGTTTTCCACTTTTCGTCCTAGCAGGTTGAACGGAGATTCCTGTACAGAAATTAGAAAAGGTAATTATACAAAGTGAGGTCAAATATCGAGTGGGGATTTTCATTCGACGAAATTTTCACAGAATTACATAATTTGTTAGGTCTGTCAAAATTTCTACGTTTACTGAGCGACATCCAGAAACCTCGAGTTCATAGCTACATCCTAGATTATGACAAGTCATCGACAGGTATATAAACCCCTAACTCGCGATTCGTATGATGCTTATACTAGGTAAATAACCGAGAACAGGCACGAGTAACCCAATTCTCGTACCTTCTTCAGCATATAACTCTGCAGATCGTAGCCCATGTAGAAGGCGATCCTCTGCAGACTCAGCAGAGACCTTAGCCTCAAGCATGGATCCGGTTGAAGCAATCGTTTCAGCAGATCCTTCGCAGCTGCAGAGAGATTTTCCGCGTTCGTTGGCAGAGTGCCAACTGGTGCGTGATTGGTCCTTCTGTTCTCTGGCAGAAGATCGCTGGATGGACCTACCGGGTACTGCAACAGACGAGCAGACAGATGACATAATTAGCGAAAAATCGGCAGAGGTACAGCAGGTTGCGAACATTAGAGACCACGTCTATCAGAGACCATGTGCGGCCATGTCAACCGGGGATAAACGATTACGTATAGAGGCAACGTCAGAGACGCGAACGCTGACTGACTCAAGGCTTCGTAGATCTCTGTGGAAGATCGAGACGGACTCGCGTCGACGATAAACATGCCGATTAAATTTTCTTCCAGCGATGCATCGCTGCTGATTATGGTTAAACATGGCGCGACTGGTTGGTGTCAATCGCCAGTTCTGAGAAGCGCACACTTGCAAGCACACGTGGATCTCTGGACGTCAGCTCCTCTCGTTCGAGGATCGTCGTCTGTGTCCTTGCTGGGATATTAGCGACGAAGATTCCTCCTGCTGTTCCCTCGCGATCAATAATCGGCAATTATTTATTCTCGCAGTCTCCGTTTATACGGATGAATAGAAGAAAGGTGTCGGGATTCTAAGGAGATTCATTTCTTGAGGCTGGAACTTGACAGAGCTTTGACAGAGACACAGTATCTGGTCGGTATCTAGCATAGGACGGAAAGAGTAACCTGCTACCATGTCACGAGTAATAGATTCCAGTAGTGTCAAAGACGAAATCCAGAACTCTGCACAGTGTATGCCATAGTTGACACTAAATTGTCAACGATGCGTATATCCGTGCTACATTTGGATCCGATATCAGCACCTTCTTCGATCAAATTCTCAGACAGGTATAAACAACATATAGACAGGATCCTAAACTGTCGTGATCCTAAAACAGGTACTATTGCATCGCTATATTTCTAGCTGGCTAAACGTCTATCTATCTAGGCTATCTAATCTATCCAAACGTCTAACTCTCTAAAGATAGTTTCATCTCGTTGCTACCTGTAAAAATAAGGAATCTTCAAACTGCAGAATCCTGCACAGTGTATGCCATAGTTGACACTAAATTGTCAATGATGCGTATATCCGTGCTACATTTGTATCCGGTGTCGGTACCTTCTTCTTCTCATCGATCAAATTCTCAGAAGTCACCTAAACAAAATTCAGAGTAGTGTATGCCATAGTTGACACTAAATTGTCAATGATGCGTATATCCGTGCTACATTTGTATCCGATGTCGGTACCTTCTTCTTCTCATCGATGAAATTCTCAGAAGTCACCTAAACAAAATTCAGACACAATCCTAAGTTGTCATGATCCTAAAACAGGCACTACTGTATCTCTATTCTTCTAACCGGCTAAACCTAAGGATAGTTTAGGTCTAAAGACAGTTTCATCTCGTGACTGCCTATAAAAATAAAGAATCTTCTTCGCTAATTCCAGCCTTAAACCTCTTCGGGGCACCCACACGTCTGTCTCTGTCTATCAGGCTAGGGACCTAACCCATCAAGTCACCTGCCAAAGCTAGTAACACATCGAGAAACCGATTAATCGATCACAGGTCGCATCTTCCTCGAACACCACGCCTAGTGGATCCCTAACTAAACGTCGGTTCAGCGACCAATTAACAATCCACACCTGTCCTGACCGCACAGAACCTCGAGCGCTCAAGGGCCCCGGAGACTCCTCTGGCTGGCGCTGTGCGGTGTCCATAAATATTTGTTTTTACGAGTGGAAGGTCGGTAGACTAGAGAAGCTATTACCAATGTGGACTCTAGCCTGTCTAGGTGGTCGGTACCAACGCTCTCCGCTTCGCTCCGCGCAGGTACACACGCAGGGTCAACGGCCACTCACGACCCTCAACCTATTCGCTCGTTCATATCCTCCGAGCGTGTGCCACGACCTCGCGCGATCATCTCTCCCAACGCAACGCGGAACTCTTTGTCCTCTTCAGCCTGCTCGCGATCTCTCCCTTTTTCACGACCTTCCACTCGCTGCTTAGATTGATCGACCACTTCTTCGCGTTGCATAAGTTGCACGGTTTGATCGATGTCAGGCGAAAATTAGGCTTCTCTGGCTAGCTCTGGGACCCGCGGGAACTCGGATCCTCAGGATTAATGCGAACGCCGGTTTTCTTGGCCGGATTTCAGCGTAATGAAGCGGATCTTGGCAGGTGGGAGGAGAATTGAGATGGATGTTTTTGCCGAGGTTTGCGAGTAAAATGGACTTTGACGCGTTGGGAGCAAGACTGATGGATTTGTAATTTGTTACAGGGAGGGAACACGGAGTTTGCGTTGCTTAGAGACCAAGTTTCCTTATTCGTTGCGAAGAAGTTTAGGTATCCAGCTTTGACACTTCGGTTTTAATACGACCAAGGTATATTATTACTCGGGAAAATATAAAAACGGTGTCAAATTTTGACAGCACTTTGGAATATCCTTTTGACTATGCGTAAGTCAGTAGGCATGAGACTTGGAATACGATTTGACTGGAAAGGGGTTAGGTGTTACGACACGGAATTGGTGAACGGTGCTTTTGCGTGAGAAAATTGGAGTCAAGGGAACAAGCTTGTTTATCAATCGCGTACTTAAGCCACGGTACTTTGTTATCATCGAGATCTTAATCGACTCCTCGCGCCGCAATTTATCAAGACGTTGCGTCAGATCAGAACAGGAATCGCTCTTATTACGCTATTTTACATATCGTTTGGCAAGAGAAGCCCCTCCGGTCCTGTGTTCTCGCGTGATCCCTGCCAAACGAAACCGATGAACGGTGAGAATAATTTATCTCTCGAATCCATTTTTCAATCCGAGAGTCGGGGAAGCACTGTAGATCGCTAAGTTCAATAACCAACGTACTATTTCGATCCGACAAAAAACCGATGAATAAAGAAACAGTGCCACGTCCAACCGTTACGTCAATACTTATTTCTCAATAATAAATCAACAATGTTCCTCGATCCGTGGTGAATTCTGCATAATTTTTCATATGTATTATTATTATACAATTTTATTCCGAAATCTATTCGTATTAACATTATCGTACCATCGTATAGGTAAAATAGTAAATTAAAAAATTGTTAAATTACCTAAAATCTCTGTAAATAATATTTAATTATTGCTTTATTTTTTAAATCAATCGAAATTACTACACTATTATTAAAATTCCTGTATAATTAATAATCGACAAATCGATGAATTTTATACCAGTGTAAATAATTTCTTAATTACTACATTATCGCATAGTAATTAACAAATAATCAAATCACTTTACTTTTTAGATCAATCGAAATTACTACACTATTATTAAAATTCCTCTGCAATTAATAATCGATAGATCGATAAATTTGGCATCAGTGCAAATTTCTTAATTGTTACGCTATCACTTGGTAATTACCAAACGATGGAATTCCAAAAATTCGGAAACCACAGCCTCCGATACCACGATCCTCGTAGCACCCAAGCCTCGCATCTCCCATGACTGCCCCCGGAGATGCCCGATGGTCGAGCGTTCCACGAACGGTATAAATCAGGTTATAAATCAATGGACACGACGGATCGATAACGATCGCGACCAGGTTCCTAAATCGTTGTTTACAAGCGTTCGTGGCGAAAGGAAAGCGGGAGAGAGGCGCGGAAAGACGCGGAAGATCGCTGACCGGAGCGGACGTGATATTCCAATTCGATCTCGTCGGGAACCTTGACCGAGAGTAACGGTACAGAACGATCATTACGAGATCGTAGATAGATGAGGCGCTGTTAAACGACCCTGGTCGGTTCTGCATAGATCGGCGAGCGACTACTCGGGAACCGATGAAACGGTTCCAGTTCGTTTGACCCGCACGGACAGCCGATACCTTCAGCCCAGCCGTGATCTTCGGTTCGATGATCCCAGGCCTCTCGAACGCAAGACGTAACAGTATCTCGATAAATACGCGATGAAAGCTGATTATCGATCGACTCGGCAGGGATTATCGATGAGTCCGCTGTGGATCTCGAGGGACCCGCACGCGGAGGATCGGTTGCTCGAGTGGTACGCGAGAGAAGTGGAGCATCGGCCGTTCTAGCTCTTGCAAGGATGGGGATGAGGATGTTTTTCTCACCTGCCCTAGAAAACCTAGAGAGGTAATTAAAAGGTGACCGTGCCGCTTCGTCGCTAGGCCTCGAGCTGCGCGTGAATATCTACGAGTGAGTGGCAGCCATTTTGTTGCGTACACGGTAGCTTGCCATTTTCTCGAGCTCTACAAGTATCGTTTAGATATTTGTAGATCGATACTGGATCTACGAAACTTTGAATGACCGATTTTTTAATTTAAGAAATTATTCTATATTATTTTATTTTATATTTTAGTTATTTCTTTTTATATTCTTATTATAGTTAGAAAAAATTGTTGTATTTAGTTATTTAATTATTCGATTGTTCTATTTAAACAATTCCCAATTCGAGGTTATCGCTTTGATTAAACCTGACTCCGCCATGTTACAAAACATAACCTAACCTCCGCGTGCACGATGGATTGGACTTTTTAATGGAGGATTCGGGAATGAAGATTTCTTCGATCAGGGTTCCTCGAGTTTCGTTTTATCATCGACGAGTTAAACATCGCGAGTAACTGTATAGCTGTCCGTGGAAGAATAAGTGGTCAAATGACAGGCTTCCCGATAATTTATCACCGATCGCAGAGTTTTGATTTATATGTACAGTTATCTGGTAGGATTACTAAGACCAGTTATGGTAACACAGTAGCTGCTGAATGCTTCCTGCCCAGGAGCGTCTCTCTTTCCATTTAAATTCTGCGTTAGTCTCATACTCGTTTCGGATGATCTAGCATCATTTACGTATCCACGATTGTCTCTGAATTTTCAAAATCGTCTCTAGAATTTGAAAATCAGCTTGTCCTCGAATTCTCCAAAACAATAATATCGCGATGAATTACGCCCGAAATTTTAAACCTCACGAATAATATCCGATTTTCTCATCTTCGATGATCGTCAATAAATTTTATCCCTTTTACCACTTATCAAATTTGCAAAATCAATGAATTTTCTGTTGGACAGTTCTAATTTCCCGCTCCATGCTGCCAGAC